CTCTCTCTCTCTCTCCCCCCCCCTCCTCTCCCCTGGCCCTCCCGTTCGTGCACTCTCTCCCCACTGTCCTCGTCGCTTCTGCGTGGTGTTCCTTTTTGGGGCGCATCGAGTTGCATTTCAAAGTGGAGCACACCGCGGCACTCGCGACGGCGGCAGCCAAGAGGTGTGAAGAATGCATAAAGCGTTTCGCACCACACCGATATGTATGCCCGTGCTGGGCGCAATTCACCACGCCAAATATCATTCTGATAATTAATTGTTTCGTAAAGCCCACACGATACTGGGTAAATTTTACGCAAATGTTGCAAAGTTACACAACTTATATCATATAGATTTCAATATAAAAATTGGTCAAGTGCGCCATATTAAATGATAAACGAGAACTTTCCATACACGTCATGAACCGAGGTAGTTTTCTACCGCGTTCAAAAAATTCCTCCACTGATGCAAAAAGCGTTTGCAAATTTACGTGCTCCGTTTGTAAATTTCCAAGCGCTCATGAATGAAAAAATTCGATTGTAATTGTTGTAAAAGTGTTTAGTTTTAGTGATAATGAATCATCAGCTTGTAAATTGTAAATTTACGGCACGTAGATTGCGTCGTATATGGGTGACCCTGGGGGGGGCGGCCTGGGGTGGGCGCCTGCAGCGGCCGGGATAGGCCACCGGCTCCACGGACGTGCGCACCGTGTGCCTACCCCGGCCTCAGCAGGCGCTCGCTCGCACACGGCAGCGTCATCCTTCTGGCCCGCGGCTTTTGCCGTGGTAACGCTGAAAACGTCAGTAAAGTCAAACAGTCGCTATACGATCAAGAGAGTCGAGCAGAAAAACCACGAAAATCTTAACCAAAAAATAGGAAAAACTATAAAAGAACAACATTGAAAATGTGATTTAATTCTGGTTTGTAGATTAGGTTTAGGTACCGCCGATTAGGGTCAAAACTTTCAAAAGGAATTTCCGAAATTTAAAGCTCTTTCGAACAATAGTCGTCGCAAGAATATAAGAAATTGTTTAAACTAAAACCTCAGGGAAGATCAAACGCGTTAGCGTTAGTTGGATTTTTTTTTTCATTTCTTTTTTTTCAAGCCGGGTGCTGTTGTGAACGACCCAACCCTTCGTGTGCTCCTCGCTCATCCATCACACGCGCATCTGTCTTTGCGACGCGACCCGCCCCG